CCTCTCAGGACTTTTAAGGAACTCTAAGATCTTAAAGCTCATTCAGATTTTTGGATCAAATCAGATGTTTTTGTCTGCTCGTTCACTCTACAAATAAAATGCGCAGCAAACGCGCTCTAGTGTGAACGCTCAAAGCGGCGCATGCGCAAAAGCAGACGTCACACACAACGCGCTCTGTTTAGACCCAGAGCAACAGGATGTTTGACTGATGGCCTTAATATAAAGACTTTGGACTTCACGTTTCCCAGTTTTTGCTTTAAGTTATTTACATAATAATGTAAATAACCTAATAATGATCCTGATTGTTATTTTAGAGGAGCGCTGCTTCAAAGGATCAGAATCTGCAGATTATACAGAACAAATAAAATGTTCACGTTTCTCCAACGTTGTCTTCCCAACAGTTTCACTGGACGGACAGGAAGTGTTCACCATGTCTTCTCCGGAGCTGATAATCGGCGTCTGTCTTGTGTCAGTGACGTAAAAGACGGATTTAATGCGACGTGACCATCAAACAGCAGTCGCTTTCTAAAACATCGGATATGTATCGGATTCAGCACCACATACCAAAGTGACCCAGGTCGGATTTGAAAATATCGGATTTGTGCCGTTCACACTGTCACACCATGATCGGATAGATGGTCGCATAGGGTCAAAAAATCGGATTTGATGCGCTTTCGCCTGCAGTGTGAACGTAGCCAAAGTTCCTGATGCTCAACTCTGAGCATCAGTATCATGGGATATATCACAGTGTCAGAGTGTCTGTCACAGAGCGGGTGTTTGAGCTGTGATTAACCGGGTAGGTGGTCCATGGGTAAACCTGAGATGGCTTTTGTCACGGCGAGTGGAGGAAATAAAGGAGGATCCAATTGCAGGCAGTCGTGAAGGTGGTTTATGGAACACAGAGCACAGGGAAAAAATGGCAAACGAAGATTAAACTAAACTATACTGGGAATAACTAAACTATACTGGGAATAACTAAACTACTAAACACAAAGCAGAAGACGAACATGAAGGAGGGGGGCAGGACACACGGGTGAAACATGGCAGATACACAGACGGACCAGCAACGACAGAAGACACGACTTAAATGCACTCAGAGAAACACGGGGAGATTACACACAGGTGGAAGTAATTAACGAGAGGAGACAAGGGAGGCAACACAAGAGATCACTACACAAAGACGCAGACTGGACACACATCAAACCCACAGCAAACATGGGAACACAAAACCTGAGAGCAAAACCAGAACCACAGAAACAATAAATAATAATAATCAACAAAGCACCAGAGATGAAAAACGATCATTCAAAAACAAACCAAAGCAAGAGAAGTCAAAATGCTGCGTCGACCCCGACGTGACAGCTTCAGTGCTTGACAATCTTTGAAATCCTCTTCCTGTCATTCGTGCTGTTGGCCGACTTACTGAATATGATGATGAGTAATCTGGTATCAGGCTGTGGTGTTAGGGACAAAGACGGACTTGCAGCCCTGCTCGTCTGTCACGTTCCAGCCTTGGTAATCGTTTTCTTTTCTGCAGCAGACAAACAGGATTTGAGTTGGTTTCATTGAGTGAAACAAGCTGTGAGCTCCTCTGACTCCATGTCTGCATTGTGTGGGTGGAAACATCCAGAAAAGGTCCCGAGGTTTTCTAACGGAGCATTTTATTATGACCAGATGAACAATGTCACTGTCTTCACTGTCAGTGGGTTTAGTTTTGTGTGTTGTTGTGTGTAATTGTTGAGAGCTCCTCCACCTCTCTCACTGTGTGTTGCAGTTTCTATGCAGACTTTGGGCCCTCAACCTGGCCATGCTGTACAGATACTGCTGGAAACTCAACAAGAAGCTGAAGGTAATGAAGGTCTTCAGACTCAGGGCTTTGTTTGCTGTACAGACATCGTTTAGAAAACGCGTTACGCTCTTATTTTGAAAGGTCTTTGCTCTGATGGTGTGTGTGCACTCTGACAGTAGACGCTTATTTAAATGTATTAATGCACATGTGCTGTTTTCACTGATTATTGATTATCATTATTGGTTTGTAGTCTTTCACAATGTCTAGAAAGAGCCTGGTTCACTACACCAGCTACGACCAGAAGAAGAGAGCCAATGCTGCTGTTCTGATTGGTGCCTATGCTGTAAATATCCTTTCATTTCGTCCATCACATCATCTGATTGCCCGTCTGTCTGTGCATTATGAGTTATGTCGTTTAACTCTGCCCTGTAGGTGATGTATCTGAAGAGAAGCCCAGAAGATGCCTACAGGACTCTGATAGTAGGAAACAGCACAGGCTACATGCCGTTTAGGTACAGGCTGCTGCTTTCTACGAAACAGCGCTTCATGCTGGGCTGTTGTCCTTACATTTACTGAGACACTGTCTGTTAAATCCAGCTTGGCTTAGCATAAAGACTGCAAGCAGGGTAACAAGAAGAAACTCCACCTAGCTGGAGATTATTTGGCGACCATGAAGGTTCCAGGAGGTCAGGAAACCTCATCAAACCCACA